CATTTGATTAATGAATTTGGACTTTAATTAAGTTAATATTTATTAGACTTAAATAATTAACTCAATTATATAAATCCATAATATTTATTTGGACTAATATATTTATGAATTTAATATAATTCAACATCATTTTATAAATTTATATTTAATAAATTTTAAATGATTACAAATGTCCCCTGCTTCAAGTCTTGTCAAGATATTTTATCTTTTGAAGACTAGGCTTGAAGTAGTAATTTAATGTTATGCTATTTAAAAGAAACAAAAATCTTGGATCAAGACATGTAAATTTATAAAATGATTTCAAATTATACTTAATTGATGAATATATAAATATTATGAATTAATATAATTGGGTTAATCATTTAAGTCCAATAAATATGGATTTAATTAAAGTCCAAAATTCATTAATTTGGACAACAATAGATGAGCCCACTTTGCTAAGTCCAATGTCATCTCATCTTAAAGGTCTAGTTTGGTGCCACGTGTCAAATGACATGGCATGCCAAGTCACACAAAGAAGTCAATAGGATCATGTCGCGTGTCAAAATGACATGGCATTCCTATCCCAATCAAAGGCCAATAAAAATGCGTATGTACAAGTAATATGTTCCGACCAATCAAATATCATCATGTCGCTTAAATCTAATTAACCAAAGGAAAATCTGTTTTCATCATAATTCATCTATTCTACAACTATAAATAGGGGTCCTCATAATTCAGAAATCACACCAAAATTCTAACAAGAAGCCAGAGAGAGCTTGTGGATCAACCGCCGCAGATTTCTCTACAAGCTATAAGTTCAAGAATTCAAGACCAAGACTACCATATTCAAGAACAAGCTCAAAAGCCCTTGAATTCAAGTACAAATCAAGATCAAGATCACAAGATTCAAAAACAAGCTCAAAGGCCCTTGAATTCAAAGAACAAGTCAAGATCAAGATCACAACCACAATATTCAAGAACAAGCCCAAAGGCCCTTGAATCTGAAGTACAAGTCAAGTCAAGTTCAAGTCCATCAAGATTCAAGAACAAGCCCAAAAGCCCTTAAATCCAAGGTACAAGTCAAGATGAAGTTCAAGATCAAGCTCAAGAGCCCTTGAATTTATATTAAAAAGACGAATCAGATGATTCATAAAGATTGTAACCCTCATATTTTGAAATCAATAAATACAATTGTTGCGATATTTTTCCATTCCTGAATATTATTTTCTTGTCTCGAACTTTTTGTCTACAGAACTCACAGATCACATAAGATCAAAGAGGCTCTTGATACCATTGTTGGTTTTTTTTTTTTAAAATGGGGCAACAAAAAAGGGTTGAAAATGCCTCTCTATAATTTTATTAATCACAAGAGAACTTTAAATAACCAACTTAAAACACAAAATCTGCATAATTTAAAATTCAAAAAAAACTAAATATCTCAACAAATTAGTCTATCGAATAGAAATTTAAAAATCAAATTATCTTAAACTAAACAACTTATTAAACTAAAAATTATTGCGGTAACTAAAAGTAAAATTCAATTAACATCAAGGAATTACCTCTATGGTTCAAGACTTAGATTTTTTAACAACTCTTCTTCCAATAAGGTAATGTTTTTCCTAATCCCTTGCATGGGCTTAATTTAATTCATACTCCTAGTGGTTACTTCAAGGTCAAAACTCATGGGATGGTGCTCGAAAGCCATTAGTCCAAGCTACAACCTATGGTTTTGGGGTGTTGGAGTTGTTTTGGTGTTGAGGGGAATTGAGGTTGTATTGGTTGGCACTGTAGTAGGTTTTTATTTTGTGAATAAGTAGTAGAAGGCGGTGGGAGTTAGGATACCCCACCCTCAGTAGAAGGCGGTGGGAGTTAGGATACCCCACCCTCAGTAGAAGGCGGTGGGAGTTAGGATACCCCACCCTCAGTAGAAGGCGGTGGGAGTTAGGATACCCCACCCTCAGAGGGCTCGGTTCACCTATGCCCTCCGAGTATTTGAGGGATTGCCTCTATAACCTTGAAATTAATCTCTTAAGTTATTAATCATAGTTCCTACCCTCAGTATTCTTGTAGATTGATCTTTAGAAGGATCATTACTTCGTGGTAGTAATTGTAAGTCGGAGCATAAGGTATGTAAGGCTAAATCTCAATCTTAGAGTTCCTATATGTTCTCATCAACAAAACGTTTATCCTATCTGATGTGTCCTTGTTATTGAATCGATGTGAGTTCATCTATACGAAATGCTAGACTATCTTTACATATGTTCTTCAACAGCCCAGAATCCCTATGTTTTCCTTACTATGCTAGACAACATATGCTTCTTACGATGAGTATACAATGATTCTCCAAAGCTTCCTACATATGTAGAATACGGGATATGTTCTTTCACTTAGACTTTTATGAGCCCCCTTATACGTTTTCAAGATCACATATATACATAAAAAGAACTACACATTTCCAAAAGCTCCTAGACAAGGGATATCTAAATGCATATGTACCTCCCCCCCCCCCCCCCCCCCACCCCTCTC